ACTTATTGAAAAAAATTGCTACACACTTGACGAATTTTAAACTGTTTTTTTATATTTTAATGACAAAATATCACAACTATGTGATAAAATTGACTTTCATTTATTTATAGTTATTTTTTTTACATAATCTAAGCCAAACAAATAATTATATGTATATACCTATATGTATCATATTTTTAGATTATTGATTACTACAAACATTATACTCTGTAACGTGTCCTACCCTCAGACGTTTTCCTTGTCACTGTACGTATAACAATGTACTTTTTAACAAGGAAATAATAAAAAATTATTATTATTAATTTTTACAATTGTGATATCTCAGATTTTTGCTTCTTTTTCAGTACTTCAACTTTTCGTTGTTTTCACATCTGTACGTCAAAGTATCACAGTTCAATTTTCTGATCTATTCTAGATGAAAATGTATCGTGAATCAATAAGAGCACACCCTAATGTTTTTTTAGCCTATCCAAAATTGAACCTAATTTTCAACTCAGTAACCAAAGACCTAAGTACGTCTCTGTTCTCTTTGTCTAGACTTACCCTTATTAAGATTTCGGTGATAAAATTTCTCAACGGCTTTTCTGAAAAATAGGTGCATTCCCTATAACGATGTATAACGATGTGAAATGGTTTTTTGTTACAGGGTGAATAAAATGGTGGATATTGTAACCAACAGGGTTTTCGATACGTACAACCGATTTTCGCCATCAAACAACCACCATACTGAAAGTATCTCTACTTTGAGTACGTTGAAGAGGTTTTCCAAAGATCAAAAATTCAAAAGAGCATCGAACAGAGAAGTCTCAGACAAACTGGCTAGTTGTATTTACATTTTGAGACTTATATTCTGGTAAATGTTATTAGCTGAGTATCCTCTGATACCCCGTTGTTGAAGTTATGTACACTCTCATCTGACTTCATACTTAAATATGAGAACTGTTCAGATATAAATTTAATTGAACTTAAAAGTGGTTGAGTCTCCTCTGTCAAATAAACACCAAGTCATTTGTGCAATGACCATGCAGAGAGAGAGAGAGACAGAGAGAAAATCGACGCATTCTTAAATGTTTAAAAATTTATATTCATTACATCACAATAACAATTGATCTTTGCACTCGCAAAAAATATTTTAACGGAAAATTATCTTCTTCATCGTCTTACTACTTCAGTTGAAGTAGTACTTAAGGTTATTTTCAAAATCCGAAACAAGACTAAAGCATTTAAAAACAATTGTCAACTTTCTTTTGCACATGATTTTTTTTTTACATTTTGCATCATATTCATGAAAAGTTTCGAAATAATTATGATTGTGGAATGTAGGTGTAGGAGTAGGAATATATGAATTATGATTTGTTAACAATGGTGATATTTTTTTATCAGATCAGTAAATCACCAGGTTTCGATAATATAACTGCAGAAACTTTAAAAGAAGTTTCTGAGGAAATATCTGAACAATTGGCACATCTCATTAATCAAATATATAAAACTGAATTATTTTCAGATTATTTGAGTTGCCGCAAACAGTATGTAAAAACATGGAGTACCACAAGGTACAGTGCTAGGGTCACTACTTTTTTAATTATATATAAATAGTCTACTCACCATCCATGATACTACAGGTCAAATTGTGAGGTTCGTTAATGCACTGCCATTCTATACACTACAGCAACCTGGGAGAGTCTGAAAATAAAAATGGAAAACGATCTGTTGAATATTATCGATTGGTTTGACCATAAGTTGCTTACCGTAAATTTTGAAAAAACTTTTTATATACCTTTTTCGAGTTACAGAACTAAATTACCTAAGTAAGTGGGAACTACCATTGATGCATGTTTGACATGGAAACAACACTGTTCGAATTTAACGAGTAAAATTAACTCATTAGGTTATCTCTTTAGAAACTTAACAGATATCTTGACAGATCAGAAACTTTTGGCACTATACCATGCTCAAGTAGCTTCCAGACTGAGACATGGCATATGTATGTGGGGTAACTCGACTTCGATATCAAATGTATTCGTTGCGCAGAAGTATATTTTGAGAATAATAGCCAAAGCCTCAAAAAGGGCCTCTTGAAGAAGTTTATTTAGACAATTTAACATTTTTAATCTGTTTTTCCGTTAATCAGCTGTCGCCCCATACGANATATGATGTATGTGAGGAAAGATATCGGATTCACCGGCGATTCTATTGATGTCATCAACTATGCGGTAAGTGTTATACTGCTTATACTTTCATTGTTTTTTTATAAACTCATAAATGATGAATTGACTTTATTCATCTAAATAGGTGAATAAGATGAACAGGCGGATTATCAGCGTAAGCTGTAACAGTTAAGAGGAAATATAGGAAAAACGACGAGTTAAAACTGCCGAGCTGTGTTTGGAAATTACCAAGATAAAGCCATTTCAGGTTTTTTATTAACACACTTTCATTAGCTTCAACTGTATGTATGTATAATGGTTTGTATGCTTGTCACTCCCAAGCTCGGGTTCTGTATTTGATATCGATATTATGTATTTGGTATCGATATTATTGCTTGATCTATTCGCGGGCAGATGGCGCTGATTTCTCACTCAGCACTCGATCAGGGAATTACAGCCTGATGGTGGTTGGATTTCTGATTCAGATACTGGCCTGTGTGAGTGGGTTTTCGATATACAGTGTCGGTCCTTATCATCAATACGTCTAAGAAAGGCAATTCGTTGTGGATTCAGGTTATTGATGTGCTTCAGAAAAGTGTCTAGTTCTGAATTCCCATGGTTCCATATTATGAAGGTGTCGTCTACATACCTCAATCAGACTCGGGGCTTCTTGTGGGCTTCTTCAATGGCCAGAGTTTCAAACCACTCCATATAGCTATTAGCTATAACCGGTGAATACTAGTACGAGAATAATAGTATTTTTTGTTCATTATGTTCGATGTTCTTTAAGAGCGTATTTTTTAGTTTTTCAAATTATATTAATTTGTTAAAAGTAATTTATGTATGTCTGTAAGGAATTGTAGTTTTTCAAGTCTTAACCATCCGAAGTCATCAAATCTACTACTGATGTGATCAAATTTTTGGGAGGCTTTTCAGCTAATGTATTAAATACAAAATTTCCCAAGAANTGTGAGTTGACGGTTTTTATTTCTTTTTTGTGCTATATTTAAATATTTTTATTTCCCTTACGTAGAGATGTAGCTCTGCTAAGTACAATTAATGTTCAACCTGCCTTTTCTGAACTACTTGAAATCGTAATCATTATTCTTGTACATGGCCTTCTATAACCAACACTTGACTGATCAATAATTCAAAAAAGAACATATCAATTTCGTTTTCGAGGGGGCCTAATTTCAGTATGACATTCATACCCAAAACTTCAGATTTGAGGTTATAGTTAGAATGTTGTTCGAATAGAGTATTACAGTCCACTTTATTTGACATTTTTACAAAAATTGAAGTTAGGAACACCCCTATCAGATTCCTGTTAGAGAATTCCTAGTAGTTTAAGCACCTTTAGGACCTAGGAAGACAGCTTCTAAAGAACTTGTATCTAGATTATCTCCAAGGGTAGAAAGGAGCATTGTCGGACTACTTTTGAAAGTCTGATAATGAAATTGAATGAGGCGATAGTAAAATAAGTACAGATCTAAGAATTATTTCCTTTTGACAGCCGGCAGCCATGTTGTGACGTTAGCAAATCGGAAGCTTCGCTAACAAACAATAGAAAGCCTTACATAATTGTGATGGAGAAAGTTGTTTCATTCAGACATTACAAACTCGAAGGTAGCAAGCAAAGAAATCAGTAAAGATGTTTTTTCTTTCAGGATGAAGATGAATACGAACTTTCAGAATCCAGGATGAGGTGTCGAAGGTTGGCTAAACATTTGGTCGAGGATGACGAACCCAGTGAATTTTATCCGCAAAAGATTTACATGAAGAATAATGAGAAAGAAGCCGTTGAGTATCTTAATCATTTGGTCATGACTTTATTGCCTCTGGTTGAAACTTATGCCGTAACTGCTTTCACGTTAGACAAACTGGTGGGCAGACAGCTGATTGAGAGTGAACTTGTGAAGGATGTCTTGAACGAATTGAAGATGCAGCTAGATATGGGTACCGTGAAATATGGTGAGTTATTTCCACAGTTACCTGAATGTGAAATTATTTTTTCTAATTGATATCGATGGATTTTAAAAACAGTGGGTATCAAATGGTTTGTAGTATTAGGGAAAAATATCTTGAGCTGGCAACAGAATGTTTACAACTTGAAAGTATCAACCATTTTAGATATATTTATATTGAACACTGCTGTGTGTACTGTTGTGTTCGAAAGTGCAAAGCNAATGCATCCGAATCATTCACTGGTATCTCTATTTCGCTATTGGAATCACTACACTGGAAACCGTCTGCGTTGTTATCACACTCGTTAATACTATTAGTACTTGTCCAAAGACGCCACATTTCAAACAGATAACAATAATTATAAGTAATTATAACTGCACCAATATCGAATTTCAACACTCAAATCGCGATCAGTTCCTGAACTGAACACGACGGCGATACGCATCCTCGCATTCCCCGATTTCTATTCGTCACCCTAACATTACTTCAGATTTAATTTTATGACTCTTCAGCCAATCATCAAACTCGGTTAGTAAAAATTATGCAATACGAACCGCCAAGTCTACAGTCTACGTGGACTAGTTCGCTACCGGTTCATTTCTATGTATTGGTTGGTTTTGCCTTTGAGAGTATCGCCAACTTCAAAGGTGCACAACATCGTTTACTTCGATTATAACCATCGTACTTGTCGCTTCTCTCGAATTAATCCAGTCGATTCAAACTGTCCTGCAGATAGACGCTGGCTTCAAATATACCACATTCGTACATACTTTTGCGACAAATTCAGGATTTTCACTAGTGTTACCATGAAATTCAGTTCTTTGCCAGTGGCGTACGCAATGGTTATGGCCTGACAATCTTATTGTGATGAAGGTTCATGATTTATTTCATAACACCTTACAGTAACTATGCAAAAATTCATCCATTGACAATTTTCATTTCGTTTCAGGAATCCTTGGTAACAAAGACTACGGAAACCCTAGCGCTTAGGAACATCTTAGACTATCAACTACCTCACGCCAGCAATGGCTTCTTCCAACGCACATTTTCGCACCTGCATCAGGCGTACACCCTTAAGAAGTATGACTATCCTCAAGTGGCCGATTTAGTACTGAAAGACGAACGTGTCGTTCAAGCCATCGTTAAAGCCACCGATGAACAAATCGAAGATTCCAATAAAAGAGGCGACGAAGAGTTCTACCAGTTGTTGCTCGGTTATAATGAAAAGCGCTCGAGGAAGTTGTTGTACAACATGAGGTCTACTTTGTCCGACTTCTTATTGCGGTAAGATATTTCACTCGCTCAAAGTTATGAATAATCCCTCTCGAAGGTAACAGTTGAGTATCAAATATTGAAAGTTTTCTAACAGGGACCTTCGAACTTCGACAATTGATAACGGTCACCTTGTTGAAGTTATATATCCATTTACTACTTGAGTTCTTCTACTGCTACTCGAGTTCTTCGATGTTAATGTGAGGCTACATCTGTCAAATTAGTTGTCATTTATTCTGTCTGTTTTGCCAAAACACCATGGACGGATATAGCATTCAACAACACTTGCAAAATAATAAAAATGATTTATCGAAATGGGTGCTCTGTTCGGGCAATGTACCGCAGGCTTCGTCCTTTTTACGGTCGCCATAATCGTCCAAGATGTAATAATAATAATAATAGGCGAGAAGGATCTCCGTCAGTCCTTGAGGGTGGAATTTGAATCCACTAGTTCAGTAAACGATCGCCCAACACCCGTAAATCGACAAGATATAACGGAAACATCGCCACTGTTTGTGAGAGTGTGCAGGAGATCCAGAGGCAGTCCATTTCGCGTCGCTCATAAGAATTCGACCTTTCGCAGACCACAACTTGGCGAATTTTGCATCGTGACTGCACCCNATCTATTATGAGTCCCAAATACTTGGTTTTTGCAACATTCATTAAGGGTAAGTTATTTATTCTTAATTCAATATTTCCACAAATTCTATTTTTTTGTTTAAATAGCATGTAAACGGTTTTTGCAGAGTTCACCTTAAGTTTATTATGTGCAAGCCAATTTGAGTATTTAGAGAGATCTTCATTAACTGTGTTCTCCAGTAAATGTAAATCATATCCACTGTACAAAAGGACCGTGTCATCGGCGAACGTGAAATACCTTCCCTTAAGCCTGGCCTGCCTCCGTGACAGTACCATCAGCGCATAGAACAGGGGCTCCAAAACGGAACCCTGTGGTACGCCACAATTATATTTAATATGCTCACTCATGCACTCACGTACAGCGACAAACTGGGATCTTTCCTTTAAAAATGTCTCAACGAGAGAATAAGTTTTGCCGCTTATACCCATGCAACATAGTTTGTTCAGAAGAACAGTATGGTCAACAACGTCAAATGCCTTTCTTAAATCAATGAACACTGCAATAACCATTCTTTTTTTATCCAATTCCGATGTAATATTATGAATGAAATCTATTGTGGCGCTTAGATTGCTGCTACCCTTGATAAAACCATACTAATACTCATCAAATCCCACATAACGATCCACAAAGTCCATTATTCTTGTCTTTATTATAGTTTCAATAATTTTAGAGAATGAGCACACAAGTGTTATAAGTCTATAATTTTCTAAGTTTTTGTTATCACCACCCTTAAATATTGGTATTACTTTTCCAGTCTTCAGTATCTCAGGAAATATCTCCCGCTTTGAAAATATCTTTTATCAAATTAACGAGTATGGAAATGACATTTTTTTCAATTAATATTATGTCTTTAACGGACATGTTGTCGTGCCCTGCTGCAGAGTTTTTATTGAGTGCAATTATGACTTCAGATACCTCTTAAGCATCGGTTCTCTTTAGGAATACTGAGTTGCCACACGATATTTCCTCAAAATCTACACTTTCTATATCTATATTGGAAATAATTGATTGACCTATGCTAGTAAAATACCTGTTGAACATATTTGCCACCTCTTGAGGGTCAGTGACAGTTCTATCATCTGTAACTAATTTAATTGACTCGTTTTTTCCTTCTTTGTATTTATTATCGAGTTTATTACCCTCCATTGTTTTTTTGCATTGTTACCTGCTTTTTGCCATTCTGCTTTGAAATAAACTGATTTTTGTTCCCTTATCTCATTGGTAACTTTAGTTTAGATCTAGTAAAAATTCAACCAGCTGTAAATGAATCATCATAGATTTACTCGTCTCTGGATTCACAGTTAATTTTTTCCAGATTCACGTCATGGGTTCTTTACAAACTCCTACCATGCTTTCTTACTTCGGTTGTGGTCCACCCAGGACAAGTAGAAATGGTAAAAAAGGCCGGGCAGACTGGTTTACCTCTAGTATTTTTACCGCTGCACAGATCGCACTTGGATTATATACTGATGTCGTTCGTATTATTGAACAATAACATAAAAGCGCCTTTAGTTGCAGCTGGAGATAATTTGAGGATACCATTCTTTGGGTGAGTAAGTGTACTGATGCAAAGTGGTGATGAAATGTACTNGATTAAAACTAAGAACTAGTGCGAGATAATCCTATTTATGCTATAAAGGTAACCCATACAGGAAAACCATCCAACTTTAATTTTTAAATAGCTGAAAATTGTTTTATATACAGCTATAACAGTTACACATATATTGTAAAATGATAAGGAAAAATGGTAAAATTGATTTAGGTTGGTATACCTGTATGGGTGGTACACCTGGATGGTTCCCCTGGATGGTTTACCTGTATGGGATATCTATATAGCATAAATAGGGTTAGCTTCGCGTTAGTTTCTAGTTTTAATCTTCCTCTTTGAAGATGATCACTTGGTGATCGAAACACGTGTCAAGGTGTTAAAAATATCGATTTGGTGTTGGGAAAAAACTCCAGTAATATTTATATAAAACTAGGAAAATTATAAAAATACAACCAATAATCGAATACACATACATATGAAAATATGTCACTGGATTAAATGTTCTATTAGAAAGGCGGAATGATCAAATTCTAAAAATGTTTTCTTAATTATCGAATTTTTCTTTATCTGTGCTACATGGCGATGACATAATGTTTTACTCGGAGCTGACTGTGCTAATGCTTAGTATAACTAACTTTTTGTATTTGTGTTATCAAAATTAATATTTCTGAATCCATCTCTGTGCTTTTGAGCTCAGCTATTTTATGTTTTGTCTAGATCCCTTCTGAGAGGTCTTGGAGCATTTTTTATAAAACGTAGAATAGACCCCGTAATGGGTCGCAAGGACATCATCTACAAATCGGTGCTCCATACCTACATGAACACCTTCCTCAGGGCAGGCCACAACGTTGAGTTCTTCCTGGAAGGAGGAAGGACGAGAACGGGGAAACCGTGTATGCCAAAGTATGGGATCCTCAGTGTAATACTAGAGTCAGTAAGTATAACGAAACTTTGCATATTGTTCCAAAAACATGTTTTTATGTCCCGACCGTAAATATTATTAGGTTGTTTTTATATGATTCTAATTAAAACTGTAAAATCTCAGTGAATACTCATTCAATTTAATCAATTTGAATCATATCAGGTAATGCAGCTGGTCATTCTAAGGAACCACGTTTACATATTCACTGTTTTGATTAGTTAGGTATCATCAAGTCACTTTCAAACCAGCTTGTAATAAAGAGGCAAATAACTTAACAATACTTCAAAGAAGATCTGATCTGAGCCTTTATAAAGCATCAAAAGTTGCTAAGGTGTGTACAGGATTGGAGGATTGGAAAAAACTCTGGCACAAATGTATTATACAGGGTGTAACTGAATAAGTGTAAAACATTTAAGGAGGCGACTCCTCATCGAAAAAAAGATACGATCTTTCATATAAAGAAACTTCATTGAAGCATCCCTTGTTAAGATACAGCCCCTTGAAGGGGGTACATAAAATTTGTATAACAATTTTTTTCACAAGCACTGAAAAAGTTACAATATTGAAATTAACCTGACGTTTTGTACTACCAAAAAGACACTTAGCCAGTAATTTATTTGGTTTACCCCATGGTT